CAGTACTAATCACAGTAGCAAAGACATGAAATCAACATAAAAGCCCATCAACAGTAGGCTGGATAAAGAAAATTTGATATATATACACCATGGAATACCACATAGTCATAAAAAAGAATGAGATCATGTCCTTTGCAGCAACATGGATAGAGCTGGAGGCCATTATCCTAAGCAAACAGAAGGAACAGAAAATCAAACACTACATGTTTTCACTTATAAGTAAGAAGAAGGGAGAAATAGAGACTTCTTGAAGGTGGCGGAAGGGAGGAGGGAGAGGATAAAAAAGCTGCTTATTATTCCTGGAACCAGTGGCAGTGAGGTGAGTTGAGAATCCAGTGGTCCAGCAGCCAACAGCCATGATGGCAGTGTCAATGGTGTGTATCACGCAGCGGTAGGGCCCAGCTTTGTACCATAAGCAGATATTCCTGTCAGGGCCTTGTCTGTGTTCTCCTCTGGATAGGCCCCCAATTTCCATTCAGTTTTTACAGCATTTTCATTACATCAATAAAATTCTTCTATTTTTCCAAGAAGTTATTTTCATCTTAAATTAGCCAGGATTAGTTTCAGTGGTTTGCAAGCAAGAGGGCTTACTTCTTCAGGATTGGAGGGGGAAGATAGGCGAACTCTTCTGAGTTATACGTGGGGATTGGAATTTGAAATAAAATGTGAACAACTATCTCACCTCCCCCATTTCAGGGATTGCCACTCTGACCATCAGGTGTTGTTTTCAAGCTAGTGATTCTGGGGTGAGGAGGAGAAAGGCAGAGAAGACAGAAATGACAGCAACCTAGATGATGCTTATTTGGCATTCAATGGATTTACATTTCCTTAAAGTAAACTATTTGTGCTTTGTCTTTTACAATGTTTTGTTATGCTCTGTCCCCCACCCTGTGCATTCTTCCCCAGTTTCTTCTTAAGTCCTCTTCCTCCTTGTCATCCTTGTCCAGCTCAAATGCCCCTTCCTCAGAGATGCCCTTTCTTAGCACCTAAAGTCGTTTCTCATGTTTCTATCTCTCACAAGTCCCATTTTATTTTCTCAATAGCACTGACCCTCCCAGATCTATCTGATTACTGTTTATGTGTTTAAATCCCCCAGTCCTGTACCCTGTCTTGCCTCCAGCTATATCCCCAGTGCCTCAAACAGACCCAGCATGAAGTGAATATATTTTGGATGGATGGCCAGTGGATGAAGTCCAAACTTCTTAGCCTTTTAAATACTCTTTATACTTTCAAAATCACTGAAACTCATGTGTTTTTATATTCTTGTCATGTGGAGATTATTGGGGGAGGAGAAGTATCGACTATGTATTTAGTTGGACATAATCCACAATTTCTAAAGGCAGAGTTTTAAAAATGTAAGTAATATGCTATATTGTTGTCTATAAATTTAATTTTGTTAATATCAAGGAACTATCAAGGAACTTTTGAAAGAAGTTGAACTGTACAGAAAACCTAGTATATGACACTGTTCCCTTTCTCACAAACATTTTAATTTGATGCCAATAAAATATATTCATGTAAGTAATATAAAATTGTTCTTTGAGCATATTCTGGGTATCATGTACTATGTCCATTGCTGGAGAATTCGTTGTGAATAAAGTTAAACAGTCTTTGCACTTGGGGTGCTGAAAATTTTGTGAAGGATCCATGTAAGGAAACTGTTCAAAACATATGTGATAAGTGATATGACAGATCAGTCCAGAGTGCCATAGGAACATACAGGAGTGGTGCTTACCAGAGGTTGGAATGGAAGGTGGGTGATGGGTAGAGAGGCTGAGATCTTCTGGTGAGTTAGCTGAGAAGAGGGAAGAAGCAGGAGGGATGATGCAAGGGTGTAAAAATGAACCTCATGAAAAGGTCAGGCTGGAGCAGCACATGCTGACCACATCACACACACAGAACCAAGATCAGTTCACTGGTCCTGGGCCCCAGGTGTCAGACACAGCCTGTTTCCTCTAGTTGAGTTCCTCTACCATCATTCCAACCCTTGGGTATATAAATCCTCTCAATCAATGCACAACCTACATTTCACTTCTTCCAGGAAACCTTTCCTGATCTTTCAGATGGAAGAGGCTACTCTCTCCTTTGAACTCCTGTTGTTTATTGCTTATTTAGAGGCTGTCCCAGATGGCCACACAGGTTGTGCACTGCACAACTTGTCCAAGCGTGTGTGGCGGCTAGCTCTACCTACACATAGGTACTTATTAACACATCATTCTTTCCCGCTAGTCTTTAAGCAACTTGAGGGCACTTTCCATTGGCTTTTTCTGTATTTCCTTTTGTGCCAAAAATTCTTCACTGGATTAGTAATCCAGCTGTCTCTCTATCAGTATAAATTTGGCATGTCAGTGATATATTAGTTCAGTGAGAAACACAGAGAAAATCTATATATATATTTTGGAAAATGGTGAGAATTTGTTAAAGGTGTGTCCTGAATGGTATTTAAATGTGGCAGGAGTGAGAGACTGATCCTGCCCTGCCATGAAGCTTAGTTCAGCTCCTTTCTTTTAAATTTTGAAATTCACTTTGTGTTATCTCGCGACTATTTTATGGCTTCAAAGGATTCCCAAGAACTCAGTCTGTTGAATTTATCATTGAGTACCCATTGTTGTTTTCTTTCTCTTTTCTGTTCTTCTTATTTTTAACAGCATAACAGTCATTTGAATTGTCCATCTGTTAACCAGAAGGCCAACCTGATTTCAACTTTTAACTGCTTTCCTAATAGCTATGTTGAAAAACTCTTACATCTTACCACCATCTGGTGCCACTAGCCTCCGAAATCTTTTAGGCAGCCTGTGCTAAAGGGTGTGAGTGTGTTGAAAGACATATTCAGGAATTTTCTTTCATTGAAATTGCCTTCAGTAACAGAAAAGGTTAGTTTGTATCCCCCATCCTGGTTTTATTAAATTCAGTTAGACCATAAGGGTTATAACTGTTTTCGATGGTGTCTATAGTCCATAGAATTCTACTTTTCCCTCCTGGCTTTTTCACACACATACAGTTTCAAAACCAAAACCCCTTCTAACTCTCTTTATCTATCTTGGGGATTTGAGAGGCTCCAGGAAATATCCCCCTACCCTCCCACCAAATGATATCATTTTAGGTCTGGGAATTCCCACTTCTAGTTAATCTTTGAGGTTGCATCCCTGAAGGCAACTGTGAAAACACAAATGTAATCTAAAAGCAGCATCAAGTTAAGCCCAGAGAGCTTCAATTACTTCATTAAGGGGCACATGGCTGAGGAACGAGAAGCAGCACAATTTATTACTGATGGAAAGAAGGCAAAGGAAGTGAGTGTTGCCAGATGGTCTCAATGAAGGCTCTTGGCATAAAATAAAAATGTGTAGAACGATATATACACAATATTGGAATCTTAACAGTTATCAACATTACAATTTACAGCTGGCAATCAATTACATTACACTGATCAACCTAAAATGTTTTTTCTTTTTTCCCAAGTAGCTACATTTTAAAAAAAATTATCAGATTTTCTTTCTTACTGACTCAGAATTAAATCTGCTGCATTCCTAGAGAGATGGGCTACTCTGGATGCAACAAACCCCTCTACTTCAGCAGTGCTCTAAAATTGAAAGAATATGCAATTGATTTGACCACATTTGAAGAGGTGGTATCTAGGCTGAAAGGGAGAAAACTTACGATGAATTATAAATTATCAAGACAAGCTCTTACCGTAATTATAGGGAATATCTTTTCCAAGGAAACAAATATCTAACAAAGGACAAAATCACCCAGATTTGGATTTGGATGTTTTGAGAGTTTATTCGTGTATGCAAGCATAGAGACACTGCTTGACTAAATTTGAAGCAAGATTTCACGGTGAGAAGAGCTGCTATATTTTCTGTGTAACCAAGAGTAGTGATTCATCAGATTTCTTAGAATTAGCCCAAATCAGAACATGACAAATGAATTTTCAGTAGGAGAGCACTCTGTTTATTTAAAGGCCGTGTGTATACATTCAGCATTTCGGAGGTAAATGCTTTAGATTATTGAACTGCTAAGTAGATCTGCTTTTTAGAATGACAAACTTAGTATCAATTTCTTTTCTCAAAATATTTTATTTCAACAAATCTCCTCTCTCTCTCTCTCTCTCTCTCTTAGCAAAGATGAGGTTTCACTGTGTTAGCCAGGATGGTCTCGATCTTGTGACCTCATGCTCCGCCTGCCTTAGCCTCCCAAAGTGCTGGATTATAGGCATGAGCCACAACGCCTGGCCCACAAATCTCTTTCTTAAGTCTCTATGCAGTGTGCCAGACACTGTTCTGGGTTCTAGATATGACACCAAAACATGGTACCTATTTAGTCAGAAAGATTATCCAAAGAAGATACAAAGGTGATGAATGAAATGAGAATTTTAACACTAAAGATATTTAAATCTTTTTTGATAAAGTTACCCAATCTTATATTTTATGAGAATCAGAAAGATAATACTGATTTGAATTACGTGTTGATAAAAGAGAAATACTCAGTTTAACCATGCAGTCCTGTCCCACCTAGTTGGTGAACCACATTAACGTGAATGGGGAACCATGTCTTGTCTAGCTGCTCTGTACAGACACCCTTACTGAGATACCAGTAAGACTAACATCGAAACGGCAAATTGGTCTAGAAACGTGGGGCTGGCATAGCGAGCAAGTAAGACAGCCTTCTCCTGTGAAAGTAAGTCTGTCCCTAAGGCATGTCAGAGAGTGAAAATAACATAATTTGCTTAATTAGAAAAGTGAAATTTTATTAATTTTTTTTTCCTGGGAAGAAAACTCTGATACCAAATCTCCAGATCATTATGAGGTACTTGCCCAACCCAAGTGAAATGTAGATAAAAATTGTACATCAACCACCTGGCTATCTGTGTTGTTTATAGTCTTGAGCATCTACGGAATGAATAAATTTACAATGTGCCCAAAAAAGGTGAAATCTCATGGTGGGCACTGAGAATGAAGAGAGATTTAAATAGAGAACTTAAAGACCAATGTGACCTACTTCACATTTTTAGTTGGGGTTGGCCCTGAATTCATTCTGACTACCTTTCAGTCATCGAGCAGTTCTCGGAAATACTGAGGGTAGAGGAAACAAACCGTGAAATTTGGCTAGAAACACAGGGTTGTGAAAAGGGAGTAGTAGCCAGAAAAATAATTTGGTATCTTAACAGAAGGCTCTGAATGGCCAGTCAAGTTATTTGGACCTTATTCATTTATTCATTCAGTGAATATTTATTAAGCATTCATTCTGTGTCAGGAGCTGTTTGGAGGAATGAAAACTCAGCGTTAAACAAGACAAGGGTAGAGAGAAAAAAATCAACAAGGAAACCACAAGAAAATATCAGGTGGTGGTAAGAGCTATGAAGAAAAAACAATGGACAGTGATTGAGATGACAGGGTTGATGGGACTCCTTGGTGGTCAAGGAAGACCTCTCTAAGTAGGTGACATTTAGGCTGAGACTCTGATGACAAGAAGCAAGCATCCATAGGACGTCCAGGGAGAGGGAACAGGCTGTAAAGTGGGAAGTGGTTGTATGACTGGAGAATAATGATTAAGGGGGAAGGACAGTTGGAATGATGAGGTCAAGTGAGGTAGGCAGCAGATCAGTTTACAGGTCTCTTATGCCATAGTAATGAGTTTGTATGTTTCCCTAAATGCAATGGAAGGTTTTAATGAGGGATGTGATAAGATATGATTGACGGATTTTTAAAAAAAATTCATTTGACTCTCGTATGCGAAAAATAGATTTGAAATGGGCAAAGCTAGAAGCAGGGAGACCAGTTTTTTGTAATTAACAAGGATATTTTCATAAGTAAATGAGAGGTGCTGGTACCTTGGACAAGGAAGATAGAAAGTGGAGCAAAGAGACAGATTTTGGATATATTTTGAAGGCAGATCTGACAGGACTTGTTTATGAAGGTTATGAGGGAAAGAGAGGAATTAAAAGTGACTCCTGAGTTTTTGGTTAATGAAATGTGAGGAAGCTGGAGGAGACTGGAGTTGAGCAGATTTGATGGGAGACCAGAGTTCTCTGAGTGAGAAGGAGCCATTTAGATTTCATTTATTTGACATTAGATTGGAAAATGAAGTGATGAAAGTTGCACTTTCAGGAGACGACATGTATCTGTGAGATTGTGTGTGGAAGGATCAGGGATGTAGTTTTAGTCTTAATTCTAACATTAGTTAACAATGTTACAGTAAAAGTTACATTTTGTTTTTCTCAATATCATTCATGATTGTTTATTAAAGCTTTGTAGGTACCAGAAACTAGGCAAGGAGTTGTGAATAGCAAGATGAATGAGAAATTTCCTAGGGGAGGAGCTTGCACTGTACCTGTCATTAGCAAGATCACATCTGACTCTAACACCAATTTTCAATTTTTACAGTCATGTTTCTGGCACAAGACCAAAGTAGAATGGGATTAACAAAATTGAACGCTTATTTCTGCCTGGGATTATTTTGAGTGGGCTAGGGCGAGGAAGGATTTGTTCAATCTACTTAAAGTTACCCCCAGGATTCCTCTGCATGCTAATTAGATGTTGATATGGTTTGGCTGTGTCTCCACCCAAATCTCATCTTGAATTATAGCTTTCATAATTCCCACGTGTTGTGGGAGGTACCTGATAGGACATAATTGAATTGTGGTGGCAGGTTCCTTCAGACTGTTCTCGTAGTAGTGAATGAGTCGCACGAGATCTGATGATTATAAGGGGCTTCCCTTCTCGCTTGGCTTTCATTCTCGCTCTTTGCCCGCCACCATGTAAGACGTCCTGTTGCTCTTCCTTCGTCTTCCACTATGACTGTGAGGCCTCCCAGCCATATGGAACTGTGAGTCAGTGAAACCTCTTTTTCTTTATACATTACCCAGTCTCAGGTGTGTCTTTATCAGCAGTGTGAAAACGGACTATTATAGATGTGGTCTATATACTCCTCACCATTCTCTGAATACATTTTAATTTTTCCTATCTTCTCCACAGTTGTTTCCTTTTTAGGTCTTCAACTATTACTAGGGGGAGGGACATTATTATATAAATTATCAACAGATGAGACACTGCCATGCATAGGAATGTTAAGCCACTTTGTGGGCAGAGGAAATATTCTGAAGAAGGCCACAGGGTATGGTGAGAAACAGAGCATCTGATGTAAAAACTACTTCTGGTAAAGCCAATTCATTTCTTTCTGTGACCCATCAGTTTGTATTTTAAAAGGCCCAGAGCTTTGCCATCAAAGATCTGAAATCATTCATCTCTAGTCCAGAGCCAAGCATAGTAAGAATGGGTACTCAAGAAAGGTTTACTCTTTGGTTGGGGGGTTGGCAAACCTTGTTTGTTGTGGTTGCTGTTGTTTGATTATGACACTAAAACTAAGACAACTGAATAGAAAGCAAAAATTAGAAGGGGTGATGGGACAAAGCCATTAATCTTTGGCTTTTCTTGTCCCCAGAACCGTTAGGTCATTTTCTTCACTTTTCAGTCCTTCAGATTGTTACTCCTTTGATGTGAACAGATTCCTCAGGGCATCATTGAAAGCTGGCAGATGTCTACTCCCCTTTGGATAGATGAAAAAAAGCAACAAGGCCAATGGCAGGAGCACATTATAGGCAGAAGGGCTGCTGTAAGCCAAGGCAAAGAGGGCCTGCAGATCCCACATTGCTCAGGGGAAGGTGATGTTTTAAAGGAACCATTCCCATCTGATCTAGATTGAAGGCTACATATTATTATTCATTATCCAATTCCATTTTCCATATTTACTTTTATTTCCCCAGAAACCCTTTATTTTCTGCCTAAATAGGAGACATTAGAGAGGAAGGCAGCAACCAAGGCAGACAAATCTGACAAAATAGTGTCAGGCCAAGGAATGAATGGCAACATGCAACAATATTTCAGGTGTTTCAGTGTGGTTTTTAAGTTGTTATTATTTTTTTTCTCTTGAATGTTTTTAGGTGTTTTAGTGCATATAAATGAGACTGTTCTAGGAAACTCACAACAAAATTCTGACCAAAGAGCATCTATCAGGGCATACTGCCAAAGGTTCTGTCAGGGATCCCAACATCTCTCAAACTTGCCCTCCATGGTGTCAGTGGAAGAAAGGTCTTATAGGGAAAGAGAAAATGAAAAAATGGAGGCAATGGCTCCTCATTGAAAGAGACCACACCAAGAGCAAAAAAAAAATAAAAAAAACCCTCAAATCTAGACTGGCCTCACATCTCACAGATGAGCTGAGAGTGGAACTGCTCACCTGCAGGAAAGAACGCAGGAAGCAGGAACTGTGCTGTGGTGTTATCTTGCTTGGTCATCGCATTCTGCTTTTATAAGTGACTCTGTGCTCATTTACTTTTTCTTCTCCATTCCTCAAGTAAAAACATTGAGGTAAGCATGATTTCTTTTTTCTTCCTTATCAGTTTTCAAAAGAAACACATCTTTAAAACTCTTGAAATGTTTATAAGGATTCCTTGTGCAATGAAGGGAAAATAGAAAATACAGATAAAGATATACACATCTTAAAATCACTTATCTCACTTCTCAAAGATAACTATTAATACTCTGAGTATTTGTAAGGAATTTCTTTTTTGACACCTTTCTTTCAAGGAAATAAGAAAAAAAATCACCTGTCTTTTTTAACATGTACATACACATAGAGGCATTAATGTATATTTAACATGTACATACACATAGAGCTCATCTATGAACTGCTTTTCTCACTTAGCAAGAGATCAATTAATGTTTTTAAGGCTGATTGTAAAATCTCTAAATAAATTTATCCACGTTAAATTTCAACTTTTCTCAAAAATTTTCCAAATGATCCTGAGAGTTTCCTGGGGCATCTCTATGAACTCTAAAAACAACCTTCTCTGCTATTTTTATCTGTCTTCTTCATTGCTTTGTCCTATTCCTATTAACAGCACAAATGTGGCTGTGTCTTCCTCCCCCCACACCCCTTTCCAGCAACAGCATCTTTGCTGCTGCTGACGGCATCTGCTGTCTGGGAAAATGTTCCTGATGCCTAGTGCCTGAGATATAGTAGTCTCCCCTTATCTGCAGGGCATGCATTCCAAGACCCCCCCAGTGGATGTCTGAAGCCTTGAATAGGACAGGACCCAATTGCCATCCATTGGAACACATTTCTGTTCATGTCTTTTACCTACAAATTTAATTCCTTTTTCATCTTAACTAAGCACTTACCATACACTGTGATACATTTTTGCAGTTTGAGGTACATAAGCAAAACTAGTACAAATTTATTTTTCCTTCGTTACAATTTCCTGGATAGACAATTTGTTCTTATTATAGATCTTATTAACCTCTGCATTTGATTTTGTTTCTTTCCTTATTGAGTCGAGAATTTTCACCTTTCCACTTAAAGGAAGCACTTTGCAGCTTCCTGTTGGCATATTTGAATGCTAGCATCACAACTCTTGTACTTTGGGGCCATTATTAAGTAAAATAAGGGTTACTTGAATGCAAGCACTGTGTACAACAGTTGATCTAATCACTGAGATGGCTACTAAGTGACTAATGGGCTGGTGGCATGTATAGCATGAAAACACTGGAAAAAGAGATGATTCACACCCCAGGCAGGATGGAAAATGATGCACAGTGTAAAATTTATGAGTTGCTTGTTTTTGGAATTTTTCCATGTAATATTTTTAGACTGTTATTGACCATGAATAACAGAAAGCACCAAAAGTTAAACTGGAGGTCAGCGTGACTATGTATATATATCTGCACTAAGTGCCATGTCCTAGTCTTATTAATGTCATTGAAACTAACAGAGGAGTTTTTTGTTTGTTTGTTTGTTTTGTTTTTGAGACAGAGTCTCACTCTGTCACCAGGCTCCAGGCTGGAGTGCAATGGCACAATCTTGGCTCACTACAACCTCTGCCTCCCAGGTTCAAGTAATTCTTCTGCCTCAGCCTCCCGAGTAGTTGTGACTGCAGGTGTGTGACCACCACGCCCAGCTAATTTTTGTATTTTTATTAGAGATGGGGTTTCACCATGTTGGCCAGGATGGTCTTGATATCTTGACCTTGTGATCCATCCGCCTCGGTCTCCCAAAGTGCTGGGATTACAGGCTTGAGCCACTGTGCCCAGCCAGGAGTTTTTTTTTTTTTTTTTCACTCTGAATGTATCTGATTTTTTTGTCCCTTATTCCTTTTATTGAAGCTTCCCCTTTCCCTAGTACTTGTGCATTCATCTGCTCATTCGGTCAACAAATGCATGAACTAGGTATTAGGAACAAAGTAGAGAGCAAGACAGACATGGTACCTGGCCTCTTGAAACTGATAAAACAAAAACTTCAGCTGAATTAAATTGAAAGGGGTATACTTGACCAATGAACGATTCACGAATTGGTTGGCCTTCCCAGCCAGAGTAGGCTCAGGGACTCCAACGAAGCCATGTTGTGGAAGAATATTTATGGACATAAAAAGGAAAGTGGCATATAGAGAATGGAAGTGAGGTACAGAAACAGCTGGATTAATTATAGCTCGGTGTTTGACTTATTTGAACATGGTTTGAACATTTGGCTGCATTTGATTGGCCCAAACTCGGTTATTGGCACAAGTGCGGGCTTCAGTCTGTTTATACCTCTATTTGTTATAGTTCACAATGTACAAAGAAGCCCTTAGGCCAAACTTAAAATACGTAAGGAGGCAGGGTTAGGCTAAACTGAACAGAGCCTATAGTCAAGTAGAAGAAACAGCCGTTAGCTGGTAAACACACCAAAAAATGTGTGTGTTACTAGGAAGGAAGACTGCAGATGCTATACGGAAGAATAATAAAGCATTGCTGTGGCTTTGAGGAGGCTGCTCTCTGGAAGCGAGTCCACGGGTGCTGGGAAAATCATAACCTGAGAATCAAGTACCATCTTGTCTGAAAATCATTTCCACCCTGGTGCTCTAGCCCATTTTTCTAGAGCTCACCTTCTGGACCCAGCCTCATCTCTTCCAGTGTGCTTTTTCTCCAAGATTCCTTGTCCTTCGATGAGTTGTGCAAGCTGCTATCCCAAATCTGATTTTTCAGAATCTTAAAATAAACTCTGTTTTCAAACACAGTTTCAAGTCAATTCCTTTTTATATACCTTGATGTACAGTGATAGATAGAAATAGTTTCAAAGTGGCAATTCCTCAAGGATCCAGAACTAGAAATACCATTTGACCCAGAAATCCCATTATTGGGTATATACTCAAAGGATTATAAAACATTCAATTATAAAGATACATGCACATGTATGTTTATTGCTGCACTGTTTACAATAGCAAAGACTTGGAACCAACCCAAATGCCCATCAACGATAGACTACATAAAGAAAATGTGGCACATATACATCATGGAATACTATGCAGCCATAAAAAAGGATGAGTTCATGTGCATTGCAGGGACATGGATGAAGCTGGAAACTTCATTCTTAGCAAACTGACACAAGAACAGAAAACCAAACACCGCATGTTCTCATAAGTCAGTGTTGAATAATGAGAACACATGGACACAGGGAGGGCAACATCACACACCAGGACCTGTTGGGGGGTGGGGGGGCTAGGGGAGGGATTGAGGAGGCATAGTATTATGGGAAATTCCTAATGCAGATGACAGGAGGATGAATGCAGCAAACCACCATGGCATGTGTATACCTATGTAACAAACCTGCACAATCTGCACATGTACCCCAGAACTTAAAGTATATAAAAAAAGAAATAGCTTCTCAATAAAGAAAATCTAATTATCCAGTATAGAAAATATTTATAATCAAAGAAACTGCTTGATGAGATATTTATTATTTATTAGAGTGTTGCTTTTGTTTTGCTTGAGACAGGGTCTCACTCTGTTGCCCAGGCCGGAGTGCAGTGGCACAATCAGAGCTCGCTGCAGCCTCCACATCCCAGGCTCAAGCAGCCCTCCCACATCAGTCTCCCAAGTAGCTGAGACCACAGGCATGTGCCACCATACCCAGCTAATTTTTGTATTTTTGGTAGAGACAGAGTTTTGCCGTGTTGCCCAGGCTCTGTTAGAGCGCTTATACTACTCAGTGTTCCTATGTAATACAAGGATCATATGATAGCTTTCACAACTGTAAAAGAATAATAGGTTAGAAAGAAAAATAACTTTTTTTCCTTAAACAGGTTTCCTTTTGTCCTTTGAATTATAGAGTTTTCACATGAAAGACAGAGGAAGACAGAGAAAGATGGCATGAGGGAAGGAGAGAGCTCACAAAGCCTGCTCCCTGAGAGAGAGAGAAAGAGAGACAGAAAGGAAGAGAGCACTAAATGATTATAGCATTTTAAGTACCAAGGTTCTTAGCACTCCTCAGCTTTTCTGGCTTAATGACCTAATATGAATGAGATAAAGTTATACTCTACTACCTTTACTTTTATGGAGTTAGGCAAATGTCTCCTCCATTTTTTTCAGCAATTTCATTTTGCTTTAATGGCATTTCTCTCCTCTCCTTCTCTGTACACAGACCGGGTGACAGGGACTGATAATGGGTAATGAGTTGTTTCATAATAGAAGTTTATGATAACGTTAGGCTCATAAAGACTTCCCGCATTCACAGGAGCCATTTATGTAAATACATGAAGAAATTATAGGTCTGCCATGTCTTAGGAGAACAGCGCCTGGAAGCCTGCACTTCAAAACGCTTTTGGGTTCCTGAGTATAACTTCTGTGCAGAAATGAAAAGATGTGCATTCACAGCTTAGTAAGTTGTCAGTGGCATGTTATGAATTAGAGCATCGCTCAAGAGGCTGTTTCTCTGCTCATTATTAAATCTGCAGTTGTTTTTGTTTTGTTTGAGACAGGGTCCTGCTCTGTTGCCCAGGCTGGAGTACAGTGATGCCATCTCAGCTTACTGCAACCTCCACCTCTGTGGTTCATGCATTTCCCTTGTCTCAGCCTCCTGAGTAGCTGGGATTACAGGCATATACCATCAAGTTCAGCTAATTTTTAATTTTTTTATTTTTTTATTTTTAGTAGAGACAGGGTTTCCCCATGTTGGTCAGACTGGTCTTGAACTTCTGAGCTTAGGCAATCTGCCTGCCTCGGCCTCCCAAAGTGCTGGGATTACAGGCACGAGCCACCACACCCACCCCTCCTGTAATTGTTTTTTCACCATGGCACTTTTTATCTTCAATCATCAAGCTACTTCCAAAAAAAATCTTATGAAACTATTTTTTCCTGTAATCCCAGCTACTTGGGAGACTGAGGTAGGAGAATTGCTTGAATATGGGAGGCGGAGGTTGCAGTGAGCTGAGATTACGCCACTGCACTCCAGCCTGAAACTATTTTTTTTCTTCAAACTACTTCTTATATAATTTCCAGTTTCTCAGTAGGTACTTCTAATGGTTTAAGTTACCTAAAATGTTACCTTGTTATATGATTGGATTGTGCCACATTGTTGAATTTTTCATGTGTTTTCCCAGGCTTGCTCCTGCAGTGGTAGTGGAGTGAGGAGCCAGAAAAGGGACCAGGGGCTGGGGTGCAGAAGAAGGTGATGTAAATACCTGTGCCAACCTGAAGCAGCCCCTTCAGTTCTAAGTTTATAATCCTTCAGCTGGGCAAGATGTTGAAGATCCACTTGTTTCAAGAACACTCTTGTATCCTTGCCAGAATAGCACGTTCTTTACCCTGCGCCTCTGAAGGTATCAGTCTATATTTAAGGCAATAATTATGTGGACTGTCGGTCTTTCTTCAACAAGAGAGATGACATTAAGACTCACTGTGGTAATATTACCATTCCAGTATATGTAAAATCTTGTGAAAAAGACTATATACTGCTTAAGCAAAATTTTGCCTTTCACACACAAAAAAATTCCTCCGATTGTTCAATCAGTTGGTATTGTGGAAACCTGGAACCTCTTTATGAAATGCAGCATTTCCAAATGGACTTAAAATTGACCATTTTGCAGACATAATGGCAAGTGTATTTCATCAGAAATAATAATGGCTATATGATGAATTGATCATTTATTCTCTGCCACACAATCATGCCATCTATGTGATCTTTCTTAATCCTTACAATACCCTGTAAGTAAGGAAGCTGTTATTATTTTTGTATTGTAGGTGGAGAAGCTGAGGTTAGAAAAGTGAAGTCACATGTTCAGTTTCATGTGCCTAGAAAGTGGTGGAGCCAGGATGTGACCTCTCTTCTGTGTGATCACAAAGCTCATGCCCTAATCACTAACTTGAACCTCACAGAATTCACATTAAAGGACAGATTTTGACAATGATTTGGTTGGCTCAAAAGTGAAAATGTTGCTGAAGTAAGAATATGGTAGAATTTTCTTTCAGAAATTTTCAGAAAGTATTCATACTTGCTATAAAATGAATGTTTGTGTTTCCCCCAAATATAGATGTTGACAATTAATCCCTGATATAATGGCATTTGTGGGTGAAGCCTTTGGGAGTTCAGGGTCAGGAGGAGCCTCATTGAATGAGATCTCATTGAATGAGATCAGTGTCATTATAAAAGAGACTTCAAAGAGCTCCTTTACCTTTTCCACCAGGCGAGGACACAGCCAGAAGACAGCGGTGTCTACAAACCAGGAGTCAGGTCCTGACCAGACACTCAGTCTTCCTGTGCCTTGACCTTAAACTTTCCCGCCTCCTGAACCGTGAAAAATAAGTGTCCGTTGTTTAAGCCACCTGGTCTATGGCATTTTTTGTTATAGCAGCCCAAATAGACTGAGACAATGCTCATTTTGTGGAACTAACTTTCTGCCTGGTATACATACATTCATTAGAAGATAAGTACAGTATGCAGTTTATACTTTGCCAGTTTTTTTTTTTTTTAAAGCAAATACTGCATGATTCTCACCCTGGAACAAAAAATGGCTTGAGATGAGCAAGAATCCAGGTCACTGTTAAAATGCCTCAGCACTTTTTAGGTATTTTTAAGTTAAGATATTTTTGTATGAACACAATGACATACCTAGAATATATTCAATAGCCATAAGAGCTGAAGAATCTCACAGTCTTCCAGGAGAAAACTTTCATCATTACTACCATTTTGTGTGCTAAAGAACAGGCATATTAAAATATTTCAGTACTGATTATAAAATAGTGACAAACATTAAGCATTTAATGTGCCAGATACTCAATATGTGCCAGACCTTTTTTCACATTACTCTACAAACTAGATACTTCCATTTTACAGATGATAAATTTGAGACAGAAAGTCACATAATTTCTCCTAGCTCATACAAAGTGTCGGAGTCATGATGAAAGGCAGGCATCAAGTACAATCTCTAGAATCTGCATTCCTGGTCACTCTATAACATGGCCTCTTCTGTATATGCTTCTGTATTTGCACATTAAACATACCACATGTTGCTATTATGTTTAAATTGCATATTACATTTATTTTCTGGAGTCACTTTCCATGGTGACTGAAATTCGTAATGGTAGCTATGGCTTAAATTTCTTTCTTTTTTTGTTTTCTGAGTCTCACTCTGTTGCCCAGGCTGGAGTGTAGTGGCACCGTCTCAGGTCACTGCAACCTCCTCTTCCCAGGTTCAAGGGGTCCTCATGCCTCAGCAGCCAAAATAACTGGAATTACAGGCATGAGCCACCATGACTGGATAATGTTTGTATTTTTAGTAGAGACAGGGTTTCCCCATACTGGCCAGGCTGGTCTGAAACTTCTGACCTCCAAGTAATCTGCCCACCTCAGCTTCCCAAAGTGTTGAGATTACAGATGTGAGTCACCACACCCAGTTCAAATTTCTGTAATTATCTCATTTGTTCAGTAGCATTTTTGGGGTTTTATTTCTTTTAGTGCAGAATTATTATGATACTATACTTTTTCAGTTCATTCATTAATTTATCCAGCATGTTCTGCATGTGCTAGCTATGACACACTCTACTCGGCCTTTGAGGGAGTTACAAAGACTATTACTGCTTTCAGCAACCCACAAGTTGAGGGAGAAGGCAGTGTAATGGAGTAAGGCACAGCCAGCTTGACGACAGCACAGGATAAAGAAAAACAGTAACATAGGTGAGAATTAAGCATTTAGAAGTTGAAAGATGGGATTCATTTTTATCAGGATGCGGTCAGGAAAGACTTGTGAAGGAGATACCATCAAGGATGTCCTAAAGGATGAATTTTTCCTATCAGGGATGTTCCATTTGGAAGGGACCTCAGAGACACTGTGCTTAATTCTGTCATCATAAAGGAGAGAATGCTGAGAACCAGAAACGCTGAGTGATTTTCCAAGGTCACACTCTCCCATCTGTAACTTCTACTTCAATTTCAAACCCGAATGCTTGTTTAATGCTTTCTAAAAATAGTGTTGACAGATTTGTCCTGAGTTTAGTACTAGTTACCTGACTCACATCTTAAGGATACTCTCAAGAACCAAATAAAATAAAATAAGATGTAGTAATTAGTAAAAAATCATTAAGGAAAAGTAATGCTGACTGGTCAACTCTAATGTAGAGTCTGACAGATAGAGTGCCAAGTCAGGCTTGGAAGAGAGGAGGAAGTAGCAGATGGAGTTTTATGCTAGTAATGACAGCAGGTGGGAAACAGGTAATAGCAAACAGATGGGCCCCATAGTATATAAAGACCACCAGCATCTAGTGCTTTGTTCCCAAATAGTAATAAGATTCAATTCATTTCTTGTAAAAATCTTATTGAACACAAACTGATTATTAGGTATAAAGTTAGGTATCACAGAAGGACAGTTTAAAAATAAAGCTGTTACTATACTGAAACTCAAGAAAAGCAGGAAATACAAATACAAAAAAAAAAAAAACAATAGAATACAAACAGCACAAATAAACACTGCAAGAAAAACAAAGTGTTGGAAGAGTCTGGTCTGTAAGGGTAAAGGAGTCAGAAAGCAGAAGGAAAGCTTCAAGATAAAGAAAGGCTCAGAAGCAGGTAAATAGATGCCAGAAAGGATTGGCTTGTGGATGGCACAGCATTGCGAGACAAGCAGACGTGTGTCATGGAAGAGTGGGATAATTAGGTGGTCCAGCCCCTAAACATCACTGTCTGGCTTGGAACAAGACACTTAAACCCTCTCACCTTCCATTTCTTTATTTCTGAAGTGAGATAGTTTCTATAACCCCTTCCAGGTTTAGGAGTTAGTAATCTGTAATACAGAATCTTCTTACATTTCTTAGACTAATATTTTCCAAAGTATGAGGTGTGTGCTGCCAGTGAAACGGAGATTTTAAAGAGTACATATGTAATATTTATGTTAGTAATTACATAATTTTTAGTCAGGTTGTCTCCTATTTAAAGCAAGTGATAGTGATTTTTATTTTTGTAGTGTTAGAAGTTTTCTTTAAAATTTTTATTTAAATAAAAAATGTGTATCAAGTTATAGAAAAAATCTAAGTATTTCCATTGATGTGTGACATTTTTTAATTCATACGTGTTTTCTGTGCATACTATAACATAGCTGTGCTTCTTTTGCTATCATTGATGGATTCATTCACTGAACAAATATTTACAGAGTACAATCCAGATTGTCCATCCATTGACAATCTGGTAAACAAAAGAAACAAAAATCTCTGCCCTGTGGAGCCACCATTCTTGTAAAGTGATATTGACAATAACAAACATGATAAATAAGTATATAGGGTCTTAGTAGGTTATAAGTGCTAGAAAAAAATAGGGCAAGACAGGACTGGGAGGGCTAAAAGGTATGTGACAGATGAGATGGTCAAGTAGTCTCTTTAGGAAGGAGCCACTTTATCAAAAATTTCAAAGAGTTGAGGGAATGAGCCATGTGAGTATTTTAGGGGAGGAATAATATTACACTTACCATTGAGTAAAACTGATGTTCCTACACCCTGGGCTTACATATGCCCATCTTTATTAGGGGAGAAACATTAGAACAAAGCTTAAATTCATGGTGATATCACTATGCCAGGAAACACAGAAAAAAGTATCTTTTCTTTGAAGGGGAGGGGAGAAGGGAGGAGATATAGTCTAATTTGAGACACAATTTGAAATGCTAGAGGGACATATTATGAAAAAACCCAACAAGCTGATGGATAGATGGAGATGATATTTGGAATTTGATGTAGATTTTGGAGTGATTTTTATAGCTTTTATATTTAAAACTGTGATATTGCCTAGAAAAAAGAGGTAAAACAGAACCTTAGCAACCCCTTACTTCTGTAAAAGATGGGAGGGTGGACAGAGATGGAGGAAACTAACTTGTACTGTGTGCCAGGCCCCAAGCTAGCAAGGCAGTTTGCATACACCGTACATTGATTGCACAAGAGGTAGGCAATGAATATGTAATAAACATGTTTATTTTTCAAGTTTTCTAGAAGAGGTGACAGAAGATAGTGGTGGGCAAATCTGTGATCTCTAAAGTAAGAGAGGTTGGATGTGATGGCTCACATCTGTAATCCCAGCATTTTAGGAGGCCAAGGCAGGAGGGTCGCTTGAGTCCAGGAATTTGCCAGCCTGTGCAACATAAGGATTCCCCTATCTCTACAAACAATAATAATAAAAGTTAGCCTGGCATGGTGGCATTCACCTGAAGGCTTTGGGAAGCTTAGGTGGGAGAATCACTTGAGCTCAGAAATTTGAGGCTTCAGTGAGCTATGATCAATTGCATTCTAGCCCAGGTAACAAAGCAAGACCCTGTCTCTAAAAAAATAGTAATAATAACGTGAGAAAGACCTGGGTCCAAATAACCGTGGTGGAGCTTTAGGTGACTGCCTAACTTCTCTGAGCTGACTTCTTCCTCTAAAGCACAAGGCTGGTGACAGTAACAGCATCAATGGGTTGTTGTGGGACAATGTATGTCAAATCTCCTGATACATAGTAAGACTTCAGTAAATGCTGGCGATTCATTTAAAGTAAAATCAAAAGATAATATGGTAGCTTACAATAATGAACTAATTTTTATGGCTGTGTTATTTTAAAACCATGAGATATTTGAGAATTTTTATTTTCATACTAGCAATGAAGAAAATTCAGTTAAACAAGAACTTCCAGAAATTAAACAAGTTTTTTTTACTTTTTCAATTATTAAAAAATTCTAATGGGATCAGTTTTATTTTTAAAATTTAGTTGGTTTTAAAAATTAAAAATCCCTTTAGACTTTGGCTGTTCTCTGCAGAAAAATACATATAAGTATACTAAAAATTTTTCCAAAATTTGGAAATAAAGCAAAATGACAACTGTAGCGTTCCCAAGTGTTGGTTGAGCCGTGTCCAACCGGCTTGACTAAGATTCATCTGATTTTTGGGATATAGCTTTGCCTGATTACTGTTTACTATTCATTAGAGCCCAAATTATAAAGTTACAACTTAATTTGTAGAAATGTCATAGGATGACAATAATTTTTGTCTAGATGAGATGCCAATGATTTATTTCTAAAAAGAAGATGATCGTAAGTAAAACTTATGTTTGTCACGTAGTTTTGAATCTGATTTAACAATCATATTCCACCATTCTTTCTTAGAGTTTCATCAGTCTCTTGTATCCTTCTTTGAACTATTTTTGACTTCTTGCTGGATCCTCATTAATCAAATTAAGTAAATCTTTGCCATACTATGCTTCACTATGAATTTGTATGAGAGTTACATTTGTAATTCTTTGTTGTTAAGAGAGAATCTCTCTATGTTACCCAGGCTGCAGTGCAGTAGTGTGATCTCAGCTCACTGCAACCTCTGCCTCCTGTGTTCCAGCCATTCTCCTGCCTCAGCCTCCCTAGTAATGGCATTTACAGGAGCATACCACCATGCCCAGCTAATTTTTTATATTTTTAGTAGAGACAGGGTTTTACCATGTTGGGCAGGCTGGTCTTGAACTCCTGACCTTAAGTAATCGACCTGCCTCAGCCTCCCAAAGTGCAAGGATTACAGGTATGAACTGTACCTGGCCAAACATTTAAAACTTTACAAAAATTACACTTTAACATATAATGTATCAGAGTTTAAGCAAAACCATACATACTTATTAGTTTATGCAGTTATTCAAATATACATTTATAGTGTATTTTTAGTATATTTAATATAAGTATATATTTTAATAACTATATATCACATATGCACATATTTATATGCATATCTATGCATGTAATATGTATTATGTATTATATATGTAAATGTATACTTAAATAAATATATTTGCTTATATTTTGCATATAAATATATATATTTACTTATATATACAATTAAGAAATATGTATTTCTTATTTTCCCATTTTCAGTTCTTATAATTTTCAATTAAGAAATATGTATTTCTTAATTGTTATTTGTCTTTACAGTGCTTTGGAAACTGATGAAGAGGTGTGAGTTTGTATAGCTTCTCACCTGGTGCTAGCACCTGAAGTTCACAGACAGTTGGGCAAAGAAGATGGATAGGAAACAGAGGAAGCAAAGACAAGCTGAGTGAAGGAGAAACTGGTACCTTCCATCATGGAGCTAAATATGCATCTGCTCCAGAATTCAGGGAAGTTGATCCAGCAGGAGGATCTGGCAGGAGCCCAGCTGCTGCCTCTCACCAACAAGGTGAGCTTGTGAATAAGACAACATGCATGAGTTCTAACAGTGCCTGGAGCCCCGCATCCATCTTCCAAGCATAAAATAACAAGATGGCTACTGCTTCACTTCCACTTTCTACATCTTACACAAAATGTCTCTTGAGGGCCACACTGTCCGAGAAATCTGCAGAAAAGACATATGGAAGATAGAGTTCTAATGTAGCCAAGTTGATACAATACACATCTATCACACAGTATTTATCAGAAGATTTGGTGAGGGATGGGTGGGTACACAGCTGCCCTAAACCCCATTGATAGATAGCCTAGAGGTTTATAAGCCTTGGATTATTAAAAATCTCTTTTCTAGTGTTCATGATAATAGGAATGGCATCAATGACTCAATTAAGAAAACACCACCTTCTGAATTTAGGTTTATCTGTGTCAATGAGTTTTAATAGCTGGAAACATTTGTATTTTAGTTACCTTTCTAATTTTTTCTTTACTTGAGAGCCTGTCAGTCCGCTCTAAGTATTAAGGAGTCATAAAATTCTTAACAATGCCTTTTTAAAATATAAGTTTTATTTTCTAATTTTTCAAGCAAATGCACATATTATTTAAAATGTATATGCCCCTGCCTTTAGTCATAATTAAATAAAATACATGAGTGCTTTTTCCTTGAAATCAGATGTATCAGGTAATTTTAAGCCATGGAATTGTGTTAAAGTTATTGCCATTCATTTTGAATTTTTAAACTTATTGAGTACTGGGTCCCTCTTCATTCTTACCCTAGCTTTTTAGTTTTGCCCTTATGAATCTTTTGAGTTAATAGAAAACCTTTCAGTTAGATTGTCTCTTGATCTTTTGACCAGTCTTCAACTTCATAGAAAGTAGGTAGCCTCTGCCCATCTGCTTACTGACACAACGAAAAGCCTTTCTATTACTAGATGCTATCTAGTGCTAGAAAATAATAGCTGAAATATTGGGAGCTTTATGCAGTGCTACTTTATTGCTATGGGAACTTAGACAACTCTCTTTCCTGAAAACTGTTTTAACAAAAAATTGCTTCATAGGATTTCAATGAACATTTTTCCATTGTTAGACGGTTCTCAAAATCTTACATCTTGTAATGGAATTTGATTATACAAGCTTATGTAAACATTGATAAAAAGAAAAAGAAGTCTTTTTCTTTGTACCCATTTTCCAATTTGTACCTATGATACTTTCTGGTATTATATCATGGAGGCAAAAAATACAGCAATTGATAGAAATATGGTATGAGGGCAAAAAGTGATTTGAGATATTTAAAACCATATTCACTCAAAAATTACATCCATTTAGAAAATAATTCTTACAGCTCTTTTGTTAGAAAGTAAACAAGACTTCTTAGGTTCTGGCCTTATGATCTAAACAGAAAATTTATTTCCTGTATCTTTTCTGTACAATTACATTTATAATTTCTTAATTTTCATAGAAAATAATCTCATTTTAATTAATGCTCTTGTGGACTTATGCATAGCATAGTGCCCTAAAATAGACAATACTCAATACACACTTGCTGCATGAGAAAGGATGGAACAAATGAATACATAAATTTGTGATACTGTATTTGTCTGATTATCATCAACTCTCTAATTTCTTTTTCTTTTTTTTTGAAATGAAGTCTCGCTTTGTCACCCAGGCTGGAGTGCAGTGGCACTGTCTCAGCTCACTGCAACCTCCACCTCCTGGGTCCAAGTGATTCTCCTGCCTTAGCCTCCTGAGTTGGTGGGATTACAGGTATGCGCCACCACACCCAGCTAATTTTTGTACTTTTTTAGTAGAGACAGGGATTCACCATGTTCATCAGGCTGGTCTTGAACTCCTGACCTTATGATCTGCCCGCCTCGGCCTCAGCTGAGAGATTACAGGTGTGAGCCACCACGCCTGGCCTCGGCCCTCTAATTTCTAACATCAATTAATGTTTTTACTTTGAAAGCACCTCCTCTATACTGAGGTATAACTTCATTTCTACCCCAATGTGGTGCACACTGTTGATACTGAGAGATGTGATGTAACCACGTCACTGTGGCAGGTCTGTAGGATCCCACAAACCACATGGAGTCCAGAAGTTCTCTCTCATTCTGGGGAGACTTCTCTAACTAAGGAAAACCAAAATCATGTTACTGCCATTGCGGATGGTCCCAACTGCCCCTGAGGACTGCTCTTTGCTGTCTTACCCTCAAGTTTAAACCTCTATATTGAGCACCAACCCGCACTCCCCATCTTAAAATCCTGTTAAAAATCTAATTCATTCTTTGACTTTCACATAAAACAACTTATTGTTACTGTAGGGAGCCAGCCCTATGTCACCAGTGGGTACCCCATGTTTGGTGGCGATCAAGGAATGAGAAAAAGACAGATTAAGAGATATAGTGGGACCAGGGGACCATCACTCATTACTTTGGAGGAGGCAGTGAAGGCCCTGAACTCTGATCATCAACACTATTTATTGGCTATAATCACTTTGATCTCTACAGGGTAGGGGTGGAGTAATGGTGGGGAGTGGGTGATGTGATGGTGGAGTGAATCAGTGAGCTGGAACCGAATCAGTGAACCAGAACAGGTGTGCCATCCTAAGGACTGATAACAGTGTTAGTTTGGGAGTTTTACAAAACAAGAACATGTGGTTATCTTTAGCCTATTATCTATGTGCAGCTGATGGAACGTGGGCCTTACAAGGAGCCTACAAGTCTGGCTACGTCATAGTGCTACGAAGGGGTTTTATGTCCTTGAGCACAATGTTTATGGTAACAGAGCTGAGGTCACCCTGCACTGGAACATGAGGCGTGGAGAGACCTTCCTCCTCAGAGGCCTCCTGCAGCCTTCCACAGTTTGTGGTTCCTTGTTTATGTGTTACTCATAACCAATTTATGTAGGCACTCTGTAAGTCTGTTCTCCTTTGCTGCTTTTCCCAACATTTATACGCTCAAGCATCAGTTTGAAACACACTCTGAAATATCCTCCTGTGTTCTGCTAATCTCTAGACTCCTGTACAAGTCCACCTAGGAGGAACTAGACAGAATTAGCTCTACAAAAACTAGGAAGGAGTTATCATCTGCCTTGGGAACATTTCCCTCTTTCCATCTATCTTCCACTGTGTCCTTTTTTCAAGCTATAAAAACTCACACTTCCTTGACTATATGGTTATATTTTTTCAAATGCATGTGTGTGTATGGTAATGCTCCACCTCCATACACACACACACCCCCCACACACATTCACAGAATATATAGTTATATTTTTCATGTGTGTGTGTGGATGGTAATGCTCCCCCTCTATACACATACACATACTTGCAGACATGCACACACATGCACAGAATATGTAGTTATTTTTTCAAGTGTATGTATGTGTGTGGATGGTAATGTTTCCCCTTCATACACACACACGTGCACACATGCACAGATGCACACTTAGCTTTCAGTGGCTTCCATTCCTCTTAAGATAAAGGCCAAATCTTAACAAGGCCTCCATACCTCTTCATGCCCTTGTCCCATACTAGTGTCTCTATCTTCTCCACATTGTCTCTGCCATCCATCTACACTGCATCTTTCACTTTCAAGAATAAGCCATGCTCACTCCTGCCAGGAGAAGAGCCTTTGAATATACTTCTTTAAAAATAATTTTTGTTACACTACACGTAACCAGCAATTCACAATTTTAACAGTTTTAATGTGGACAACTCAATGGCATTTGTGTACAGTCACAATGTTGTATAACTATCACCACAATCAAGTTCCAGAGCATTTCATCATCCCCAAAGAAAATCCACACCTACTAAACAGTCACTTTTCATTCCCTCCTACTCCCAGGGCCTGGCAACCACTCATCTGACTTCTGCCTTTATGGATTTTCTCTCTCTATCTCTATGGACATTTCATATAAATGGAATTATATAATCCATGGCTTTTTTTGCCTGGCTTCTTTCACTTGACACAGTGTGATGTTCATCCATGTGGTAGCATTTATTGATTTCTTTTTATGACTAAGTCACATTCCATTTTATGGATATTGAGCATACTGTTAATTTGCTCAGAATGAGTTTCCATCCTTCCTTTCAGCTAGCTGTCTCCTGGTCATGTTTCAACAGTCAGCTCAACGATGACTTCCTCATTGGACTTTCTGAGACCCTGGCCTAGATGAAGTCATGGGCTTTTTAAGGCCCAGCTTTCTCTTCTGCATAGCTCTTCTTTCAATCTGTAATTAAACCCATGTAGGAGTTATTTGGTTAATAGTTGTCTCCCCAACTAGAATCTAAGATCCATAAGGTAAGAAATCATGTCTATGGTTAGTTCTATATTGTATTTCCAATGGCTTTTAGAAGGCCTGGTACATAAATAAATTTTTGTCAAATAAATATTTTTGAAATTATTTCCTAGTAAGAAATAAATAATTGGCAACAGCTTAACGTTCTTTCATTCCCAGTGGTATTTTGAGTTTGAATAGAAATAGGGCTGTCATAGAGAAATTTCATGGCGGAATTTCCCTGGCAGGGAATAAAGGCTAGATTGTTTTGTAGGAGAGACTTCTTCCTCCTGCTGATCTGCACCACCCGATGCCTATGCCACCTGAAAGATTAGTTCTTGAGTCGCCATTTCATGCACTGTAACTATGTACTGCTTCCATTTTATCTGAACTGAAAAAAAGGCATATTTGGTTCTATTTACATTCTTATTTCATCACTAGAAAAGTGGTGATCTGCTATAAGTAATTATCCCTCATCCATCTTTCATCTCCAATACTTATAACGTAAGCCTGATTGAAATTTGATGGGTTTCTTTGATGTTGGTAACTGAAGGATGCTTTTATTTGTAAATGGGGATTGTAACTGTACGTTGGAATGTACCCTTCGTTAACTCAATGACGCTGTCTTTTCCCAATCTTTTCCTGATATTTGTAATGGGTTTAAAAGTAGTCTTTCCTCTTTCATGCCCTTACGTTACCTCATACATAAACCATATCCTTTGTGCAAGTGTTTGCAGTCTACACAATGCTGTCCTGTTTTGGAGTAATTATATCTGGAAAACTGCCAGTCATTATGTTCTTAAACTGATGGCAAATTCTTCTCTAGTATTTACAGACAGATGACAATTAAATTGAGGCCCTGATACAGTAAAAGCACAATTTAACAAATTTACTTGGTGGCAGCATTTTTATTTAAATTTTGTTTGATTACTCATGAGAAAAATTTTCTCCAGAATGATAGTTTTATGCTAGAAATGAGCTGCCTGATATTTTTCTCAATTAGACATCAGATTAAGGGATAGTTGTGCCAAGTGAATTGTATCTTTCCATGTAGAATTATTATTATTTTAGCTTTTGTTTATTGTCCAGTTGGTTATGTCAACCCAAAGAAAACTGGGTATTTTTGTACCAGGTAGAGCTGAAGTCCTCTTCAGCTGTTTTTTTCCCCCAGGTGGAGTCAGTGGGGCTAGATATGGATAAAGTTAATTCTGACTTTAGGCTATTCTCTGAAGGTTGAGCTGCCAGCATGTAATGACTAAATATAAATATATTTCAAGAAACCCAAAACATATCAAAAGTGATCTCTCGCCTCAAGGATTGTCAATAGCCTAATTAATTCTACTAATGTAGTAAATTAAAGAGAGATTATTAAGCTAGAGAGGCCTTGTTGGAAATGGAACGCCAGAGGCAAACATTGGTAATTTAGACCTTGGTATTCAAGACTGACTCAGATCTTGGTATAGTCAGCTTAGTAATCAGTTCCCAGTTATGTAGATAGCTACTGGAATCTCATATGGTATGTTTTTTAATAATACACAAAATCTCATATGTTCTGATCATAACTTGGCATCTCATGAATCTTATCTTTATGTGAATAGTAAGAGAATGTGCTAGTCAGGTTAACATGATTGCCTATTCCTCTTGGGTGTTATAATTCTCATTTTATAAATATAAAGATTTTTCTGCTTTCATATACAGCTTTGTGATGTTTGAAAGAAAGAGAAGGATATAATCTAAC